TTATTATTATTATTATTATTATTATTATTATTATTATTATTATTATTATTATTATTATTATTATTATTATTATTATTATTATTATTATTACTATTATTATTATTTCAAACGAAAAATGATATATTACGACTGTTTTACTGTATATGTCGTGCATAGCAGTTGTACGTTATATGTGCGTGCACATGTGTTGTGTGAGTGTGTGTGTGTGTGTGTGTGTGTGTTGTGTTTCTGTCTGTCTATCTGTCCATGTGTGTGTATCTATGTGTCATAGTAATAAATAAATAAATAAATAAAATAATATGTATATATATATATATTAGTAATAGATTCTGTAAGGATTTCACGTTCATTCAATTTCATTTCAATTAATTATTCATTTTATCAATCAAAGAATGGAAGGTTCAGGAAGGTATGACGTGTGTCACTTCGTGATCCGGCACGATATTTGTGTCATCTTCTTTCTTGTCATTTATTGTTTTTCCGTTTTTATCCTTGCAAATTTTTGCACAACCATCATTTAACAATTACTTTTGATAATTAAAATTTTCACATTTTAAATTAATGCAATGATCGATTGGATAAGTAAGTAATTAAAGAAAAAATTTTACATAAAATGTGTGATAATAATTGGAATTTGTATAATGGAAGTATAAAATTGATATAATATTGTCAGTTATTTCAAATAAGCCAAGAAGATTTTTGGCCTAATACTGATGAATTACATCAGATAAGATTTTTAGAAAAAAAGAACAAATAGTCTGTATCAATATAAAAAAGTCAATTAAATGGAACAATTTGACAATTGATATCTTTGGCCAATTCCCCCAAATCAATGGATAATCCTTTGGGAGTTTATGTGATTGATTGAGAAACGGACAGAAATGTAATAACATTATGGCTATTATAAACATCTATTAGTACTAATTAATAAATTAGTTGCAAATATTATATTTTTGTTTTATTCTAATGGATATGTAAATATTTATTCTGTAATTAATTCTAAAATATTTTTGTATTTCTTTATTCCTCCGTCAATGTGAAATTAATGAGATTTGGTAATAATCAGAATTTGGAATTTGTATGATTCTATGATTGGAAAAATATTGATCGATTTAAGAAAAGTTAATCAAATGATTTTCTTTTCTCTTTGATCCTTTTTCCGTTTTTTTTTTTGAAGTTGATCTCTACATTATTAATGATTTTATTGTTTCAAATATGTGTATTACTTCGATTGTTCTTTTTTTTTTTACTAAAGGCCAATAAATCTGCGTTAAAAAAGTAAAATTCAAAGTTTTGTTAGCAACTTCTTTTACTTTGTTTTTTTTTGAAATTGATTGTAAAAATATTAAAAATCCATTTTTTTTCAGGCTATATATTATTATGAATTTATTGACTGTTTATTTATGCTAATATTCAATGAAATTTTACGTAAGTCTGTAAATTATTCAGCCTTACAAATTGTATTGATTCAAATTTATTCTACTTGAAATGATCGTATTACTGATTACCAATTATCATGCATTTATATCATCTTATCATTCTACAACTATCACTTTCGATGCGAACAATAGGTTATGCAATTAAGTAAGCGTTTTAATTGGAAAAAAAAGGAAAAAGAAAATAAAAAATGAAATATTTGATGAAATATGATGAAGGAATCTGCCATTCTTCTTCATTTAATAAAAATGGTTGCTTGAAAGTTTTTCAAAATTCCTTTTCTTTATTTTCAAATTTGAAATTTCCTCGTTTTTTTTTTAATATTTTAGATAATATATGAAATTATAAAAGTATTTTTTCTTTTTTCTTTGTTTTTTTTTTTGCAGATGTTTTACGTGTGCTTCAACTGATTATGAACCTTTATTTAAACGTTTTACGGCTTTTCGACATTCCTCAAATATTCCACGTTTTGGTGAATTTTGCGATAGCTTTGAACAAATACGAGCATATGCGCCATTAACCAAATGCGCTTCAACATGTGTTTCCATTATGGAACCACAATACTTTGGAGGTATGCGTTACAGTAATATAGCTATGAATACATGATGATATGTGAATAAACTTTACGATATTATTTGATAGATCTATGGTACAAACGTTTAAAATGAGCATTGCGTTATCAGGTACTGTAACATACAATTCCTGTTACTTTCATTTTTACTCTTTCTTAAATTAATATCCAATATTTTCACTTGGAAGTTATTTGATTTTTTTTTTTTGGCAGAAAAAGAAAAGAAATAATAGAATTTTTTTTCTAAATTTTATGAAATAAATTGTTTTGAAGGAAAATAAGAAAAGGTAAACCGGAATTTTTGTCTTAATTAGGCAATTGAACAAGCGAACCTGAAAATAGTTTCAACTTCTATTTAGCTAATTATTCATTCTTATTAAATAATCTGTGATGAAATACAAAAATTCCCTCGTGAAATATTCAAATTTAATTGGAATATAATCAAACTGGAATTAAAATTCAAATAGCATTTTTTAGAATAGGAAAGAAAAAAGAAAGCAAAGAAAATTATGTTGGCTTTTTTTTTGTTGCTCAAATTTAAAATGCAAACACAAACATTATCATATTGATTTTTTAGTAGTGAAAACTTGATAAATCTAATAAATTTTGAAGAAAAATGAAAATCAAAAGTTATATTTTCAGGTGTACAATCAATGAACACACCATATACATATATTCGTGGTTGTGCAGAGAAAATTTTCAATTCAATTGGAAATCATCCACCTGAAGTAGACTTTCTTCATTCCGAAGCAATATGTCTTAAACTTCCGTTATCACAAATTTGGCCATCAATTGAAACCGATGAGCATGTACAAGTTGGTACCATTGATATCACTTAACATTCAGTTCAACTGTAAAATATTACTGATAAGATGATAAATAAAATTTTAGTTTCAAAAAAATTTTTTTTTAACAATTAATATTGAATATTAATGATTATCACTTTTGAAATTCATTCATTATAACAGGAGAATTTTAAATTAATTATTTTGAAATTCAGTATGTATTCAAATTAAAAAATGAAAAATAAAATTTGTGGAATAACTGAAAAAAATATGCTTAAATTTGTATGAATAAATCATGCATTTTTTAAAATTTCCTTTTTTGATTTCTAAAGTTTAAACTTCTTGAAATTTAAATTTACAATTCAGACATTTCATGATTTTTAAGACTTGTGAATATTTCGTACATCTGATTGCCATTTGCATAAATTATTTGAATTAATTTAATTTAAAATATACGAAAAACTAATAAGATTGTTTTCTATTTCGAACCATTGTTTTTTCTAAACAATGGGTAAGTTAGACGAATAGATTACAAGAGGTAAGACAAATATTGGCTATTCTCTTTGCCCATTAATATTTTAATTAATGTTAATTTGAGTTTGAATTGAATTTGAGTTCAATTCCTTTGATTTGCAATTTTATTTCAATATTCTTCCAAAAAATTTTAGATGTTCGACAAAAAAAAAAACTTTCATTTTTTAAATAGTGCATGATTCATATGCATCTTATCTTTACTGTTATCATTATCATTAATATCAACTGATAACCAAATTACAGTTCAGTTCTTACTATCACCATCATTTATCATTCATTTTTTTCATTTGAGACTAACTTAATGCGCAGAAATATGTATTATGTTAAAGCGATAATATAATTTCTAGAATTTTGACACTTTTCCTAAATAAAGAATAATTTTATAATTTTTTCCATTTTGAAAAAATAGCAATAAATTTGATTTTATTCAATTAAAGATTAATTTATGAAATGAAATGTATAAATTTCACTTCAATATTATAGCCGAAATTTTGAACTATGCATGCTGTACATAAATTTTGTTAAAATATTTCGAATTTTAGGTTTGTTCCTGCAAAAATGATGCATGCAATACGAATACTGCAACCGTAAACAGTAGTAATTCGTCCACTATTGCATTTTTTTAAACCACTTTATCAATTCCTTCTTATTACAATGCTGGTATCATTGTTAAATTTGTTGTTACACATAAATTTAATTTCAATTAGATAATTTTGATTTTAAAAATTTTACAAATAAAGAAATTCTCCTTTCAAATGTTGATTTCGCAAACAATAAATGTTACGACATGAAAATGTCAAATCCATTTATTAATCAAATTTCATACCAATAAATAAAAACTTATTCTTTATTGATTTACAATAAATCCAAATTGCTAATAGCGTGAAAAATCCACCTTTGTTTCAGTAATTTATTTTTTGTAATTAATTGTCAAGATTTCGAAGAATCCGGAAAGAACTAACAGTGGTTGCTGTCTCCCTTACATATTCATTTAAAAAAACTGTTCTTTTTCAAAAAAAAAAAATGAATTAGTGCTTTTCAAATTGCTGTTTATTAAATTTGACAGTATTTGATTAGTTTCAAGAAAAAATTACTTCAAAGATTGCATTCTCTCTAAAATTTCAACTTTTTTTCATACAGGTTAAATTTTTGAAGCAGTTTTAACCTTTTTTTAATGGAAAATTTTCCTTTTAAAATTTCAATTCTATTTATTTTCAGGTGTATTTTCCACTTAGTTTCAATTATTTCCTTTCTCAGTTGATTTTTTTTGGGATAATAATTTCAACCTTTTTTTTCCAATCAATTTTAAGAAAATTTCAACTTTTCACTTATTATTAAAAAAATATTAACTCCTTCTCCTTGTTCCTTCCGAGAATTCCCGATCCTTCTTCCCTTTACTACCAAATTTCAACTTCTTTTCTTGAACCTTTCAACCCATCCTATCGTTTTCACTTCAATGCTAATGTTCGGTTGCATTTTATTGGTATGTTACTTTTTGTTGATGCGTCTGTGTTTTCTTTTTTATCAAATCACTTATCAGTAATTAAATTATCAAATTTATTAGAAGCCTAATTTTGTTCCTTTTAATATCTGCATCATTTTTTTACATTTAGATTCCTTCAGTTCCCTCTTCCTTTCTTTTTTTCTTGTTCTTTCATTCTTCCTATTCATAATTTGATTTCCCTTCTTGTTTTCATTATTTTGATTTGTATTCATTTTTTCTTCCTTTTCTTTTTCTGTTCCGGACAACGGAATTTATGATGACAAAATTTGGTGCAAATTTTTGTTGCATTTTGGTAGTATTACAATCTGCCTGATCCATTTTACTTAGAATGGACTAAACGGATGAATGAATTAACCGGATATTTGTACATTCATCCGATTCCTTTCAATTTATAAATGCCAAATTGAGTGTATTTTATAGAAATACAATTTCTCTTTCTAAATATTTATCGATTGCAATCATAATTAATAATAACCGCTTTGCCTAACAATATATGATTTCGTTGCATAAATGAAAAGGAGGGATTTAAATTTAAATTTAAATTTGTGAAAGAAGAATTTTTTTTTCGTTCTTTGTTCACAATAATGTCACATAAATATATATCAATATGATCGATGTATGTCAACTTTCGAAAAGTGAGAAAAGAAAAGCAACTTATATGAATTGGCGAAAGATTGGTGAAAAATTCTAAATAGAAAATGAAAAGACGAACTGATAATTAGTCAGGAAATAAAAAAATAAAAAATTTGCATAATGCAGCAATCAGAGTGCTAATAATTAATTAATTAGTTATGATGCTAAAGCAAGACTTGATTGTTGTGAAATTTGACGAAATATTTGTTAAATAACAAAATTAAAAGTATGATAAGAGTAGAAAATATTGTTAGGTATTACGATAAAATTTCCCTAAATGCATCAGATTACAACTACTCTCCCCTCGCTCTCCCTCTCTCTCTCTCTCTCTTCACTTTTTCTTTCCTCAAATTAGCGTGAAGAAGTTCGAGAGGATTTATCGCATTTGAAAAAAGAAATTATTTCTAATTTCTAAAACTGATTAAAATTTTTACTATAAACTTTAATTTTGCCCAAATTATAATTTGTCGTCTGTAATGATAATTAAACAGCTATTATATATATATAAATTAATTGGCAGTTTGAGCAATTAGAAGTTTATTTGCATTAAAAAAAAAAGATAATTTTAGGTGAATAATGGCTGCAATGATCAAGGATAGCGATATTGATTTTTTCCCAAAATTTTTTGGAGGAAATTATTATAATGATTAGAATTTTAATGGTATGCAATTAATTAATTAATTAAAAAATGTTTCTGTGCATGTATATGTTAAGCAAAAATTATGCAAATTTCTAATAGATAAGGAAAAATAAAAATTGCTAATTAAATTATCAAATGAAAGGAGGAAAGAAAAAGAGAAAATTTCACGCTAAAATAACGGATCCATAATCAATACGTGTATTTATGAATATATTATACACACATTGACATATAAAAGGATCAAAACGTTGAAATGTGGCGTGAAAAATTTTACTAATTATATTAATTAAAAAATTAGCAAATAATTATTTATCAGATATGTTAACAATATTGTTCGTTTGTTTGTTCAATTGTTTTTTTTTCTTCATTTATACAATAAAGAATAGTAATTATCGATTGATTGAATTAAGTTGACAATTTTTCGATCGATCAAATTTGGTTTGACAAGAAATTAGCGTACAAAAAATAGAAAAAAAATTATGGATAGCAGTAAACAAATCGTAAATATTTAATGAAAAAGAAATCGATAAAAATTTTCTCTCTTCTTTTTCTCTCCCTTCCCTCTCTCTTTCTCTCGCATATATGATCGCTAATTAAGGAATTTATAATTAAAGTAGGAAAGAAAAAAAATCTTTTTTTTGTTAATTATCAATCCATCCACTTTTTTTCTTGTTTTCTTTTTGTTTTAATTATTGATAATTTATCTTATCAACATTATCATCTTCATGATTTGTGAAAGTATTAGTGATAAGAATAGTACGAGTAGAAGTAGTAGCAGTAGAAGTAGAAGTTGTAATCATAAGAAAAGTTGTTATAAAGTTTGTTTTCTTGTTATTTTTTTTTCGTTGTTGACAATTAGCGCCATCCATTAATTATCTATTGCTCATCTTCGAGAACGTAAATTTTTGATGCTGAAGCATTTTTGCCGGTAACAACTGACGAACGATGTTTTGCACGAATAAGATGTAATGAACTTTCAGCTTGATCTGCACGACCTTCAGCATCTTCCAATTCACGTTGATATCGACGTACTCGTTGTAAATTAGCCATTGTTAGAGATTCCTTAAATAATAATTAATTCATTTGAAAAAAAAATCAGATTTAAATTTAATTTTTCTATGAAATCAATTTTTTTTATTTTTTTTGTTTTTGTGATAATAAAATATGTTATAAACTAATAGAAAAAAAATTTAAGTTATTATTTACAAAAAAAAAAAGAAAAAAGACTGTTTTATACTTTGTTTTCCACTTTTTCGTTTTCCTCTTCCTTCCTAACTAATAAAAATAAAAATTAAAGATTGAAAAAAATTTTTTTTTCAAACTTACAGCTTCTCCAAGTTGCCTCTTTTGAATGTTAAGTTTTTCAAGAAGCCTATCAGCAGTATCTTGCGCCATCACAAACATTTTATGTTCTTCATCAACTTGCATTTGAACTTCCTTGATACGCCGGTCTTTCTTTCGAAGCGCACCTTGTGTCTCCTTATGTCGACGTGTTTCTTCATCTAAAGCAGTTTCCAAATCACGTATACGTGTTTCAAGTTTAGCAATTACACGTTTACCACCCAATAAAGCTGCTGCTTCAGCTTCCTGAATTTGCACTTGCAATTGTTTTACCTAAAATAATGCACTGGATAAAATTATGAGGAAATTCATTAACTCTTTTAGTGAAGCAAAGAATTTCTAAAATTAATTAATAAAATTTGAAAAGACGAACTAAACGAAATATTATTAAAAACTAATCGC